AGATCAACACTTCGCTCCAGCTGTCCAAATCCAACGCTTCTTCTGCCATCCCCATTCAAGTGGAAAAATGTCTCTGGGAACTCAAGGGCAGGTGCTTACTGTGTTGGTTGCACAGTACGCACTGCTCACACCTCACATCATGCTGTCTTGGCACCACCACACGACAGGGATGGCAACAATATCAGGAGGGATATCACAAGTGGAAGTGGGAGTGTGGCCTGTTTTGCACCAAGGGGGACGGTAAGGACATTGAGGGGTATTGTTGGAAATGCCTCCTCAACATGGACTCTAGTTTGTGTCAGGGTTCAGCACCCTGCCCTAGGGTGCCCCAGACTCCCCAACCAATCCCTTCCTTCCATTCCTTCATCGTTGCCTTGTTGTTGCCTTTCTGTGTTGTGTATCCGCGTGCATGGGATAGCATGGGAACTTTCTGAGCGAGCAGCTCGCCCAGAATGTTCCCACGGGTCACAGCCACAGTTCTGGGCAAGCAACTCGCCCAGAACATTCCCATGCTTACTGGGCACTGCCACCTGGATGTTCCCTCCAGGTCACACTACACAACTCTAGGAGCTGTATAGTTGTGGGCATGTGACCCATTCTGTTATATAGCAACCATGCGGGGAGATGAGACCTTTACCCTTCTTCTCATCTCATGCCCCACATAGTGTGAGGACAGGTTAGATGGGGGGTTGAGGTCGGGGAGCCTCCAAGTCCGAGGCCGGGCCCTGACAGTAGAAGAAGGGTTTAACCTCACGCCTCCACCAGCCTCTGTTGTCCCAGAAAGCCAAGGTAGGCTCGGACCATCTCAGAGCTGGGTGCAGGCTGCACTTCTATGCATGGTGCATAGAGTTCTGGTGGCTGAGTTATGCCACACCATTGTTTTTCCCCACCCAACCGTTACACACTCTTTCCTTGCGACACCAACTTTGAGTTTTACAACCGAAGGTTACTCATCCTTCATTCTCTTTGGATGGATGGTGAGTGTCAGGGACTCGTCCAGGGTCGAGGGGGCCTGGGTGTAGCGTCTGGGGCTGAGAGCCTGCATCAGCAAACTTGTTAGGGAGCTCTTGGAGCTCTCAGAGCTCTCAGAGCTCTGTGAGCAAATTGAGTCTTTTTGCTGTGCACCCTCTACACATTGGGTGGAGAAAATTAAATGTTTGAATGATTTTATTCTCCTAAGGATGCAGAAGTGCAAAGATAATATGTATATACATTTTTGGAAATGCATATTCCATGGCCAGCATCATTACTTGAAACACTCTATGAGCTCTATGAGCTCAGTGAGCTCATAGAGCTCATAGAGCTTTTTGTTTTTAAATCATGGATGGTCTTCATATCTCCATGAAATCTGCTTAGTTATTTTGGCACCAGTAGTGCAAAGATAATATGGATATATATGTGTGTAAAATGGCCATTGTCATTGCTCTGAAAGCTCTATGAGCTCTATGAACTCTATGAACTCACTGGGCTCATAGAGCTCATATACCTTTTGTGTTTACTAAAATCAGCACCTTATTTTTTATTGCTATTTACAAAATATGAGGAAAACTCTGAAATTCAAAAATTTGCACTTTATCTTTCATCTCATTTCTTGCTCAAAACTCAACCAATTTTGATGATTCTATGTGAATTGGAAAGCACCAAAGTGTGGCAATGTAACCATGCATGTTATGTAGGGTATAAATCAGTTTTAACAAAGTGTTCCAAATGAAGTAAATTGAAAATAAAGCAAACAAAAAGCTGATGTATTCTTCAGATATCATCCAAGCCTTTGACACCAAATTTCTCATGGTCAAAAAGCCATGGTTATTTGGCTCACTGTCAGGGCCCAGCCCTTGTTCTGTGACGGGCCCAGGGGGATCCTCCTAGTCGCTGGGGTATCTAGTCCCAGTCTGAGATCCTCAAACTCACTGAGGGGACTAAACCTTCTCAACCTCCTCTACAAATGGGAGCCAGGAACTATACAGTTTTCAGCTCTTTGTTGACTCCCCATAAATGGCACCCCCCCATGGGAACAAGCTGCTCACCCAGAAAGTTCCCACAGTTGTGGCTGTGATGGTTTCTGGGTGAGTAACTTACCCAGAACTTTCCCATGGGTCTGCATGCATGCGGGATTGTGGAATAGTGAGGGGCTGTGCCCTGACACTCACCAAAACATGGTGGGAGACTTTTCTAACACTGAAACATACATTGCTACATTGCCCCACTTTGGCACTTTCCAATGCACATTGAATTATCAAAAAAGTGAATTAATTTTTTTTCCAATTATTCCTAATTTCCTGAAATATCTCTCCCTAACTTATCCCAAAATTTCTGATTTTCCCCCTGATTTTTTGGACATTCTCCTTTTTTAGAAAGTCCCCCATTTTCTGAATTTTCCTTAATTTTCCCTGACTTTTTTTCAAGTTTTTAGAAACCCCCCAGTTCCCCCTCATTTTCCTCCCATTTTCCCCTTCATCCCCCCCCTCAATTTCCCCCCCATCCCCCCCTTCAATTTCCCCTCATTCCCCCCCCAATTCCCACCTCAATTTCCCCCCCATTTCTCCCCCATCCCCCCTCCAAATTTCCCCTCATTCCCCCCCCCCCCCCCCCCCATTCCCCCAATTTCCCCCTCATTCCCCCTCAATTTCCCCCATTCCCCCTCAATTTCCCCCATTCCCCCCATCCTCCCCTCCAAATTTCCCCTCATTCCCCCCCCCATTCCCCCCCCCCCCCCCCCCCCCCCCCCCCCCCCCCCCCCCCCCCCCCCCCCCCCCCCCCCCCCCCCCCCCCCCCCCCCCCCCCCCCCCCCCCCCCCCCCCCCCCCCCCCCCCCCCCCCCCCCCCCCCCCCCCCCCCCCCCCCCCCCCCCCCCCCCCCCCCCCCCCCCCCCCCAATTCCCCCCATTCCCCCCCCTCAATTTTCCCCTCATTTCCCCCCCATTTCCCCCCCATTTCCCCCCCACTCATTTTCCCGCATCTTCCCCAAGTAATTTCAGATTAACTGCATTTATATCCCTAAATTTGGTCTATATATTGATTGGGCTACATACCCTTGGTGTCTGGTGCCGCATTGGTGCTGAAACTGAAGCTGAGTTTGTTCAGTCCCTTGTATGGTAGGGAGTTGGCTATGGCTAGTCACATGATGCCATAGTCAATGCTTTTAAATTTTAATTTTGATATCGGGTAAATTAAACACTCAGGGAGCTCATATAGATAATAGTCCCCTGTGTGCAAATATAGCTCTATGAGCTCTCAGAGCTTTGACTACTTTTCAGAGCTTTGACTACTTTTTGGAGCTCTCAGAGAAGGGGACCTGCAATTTCAAAGTACTGAAGCTCTGAGAGCTCTATGAGCTCTATGAGCTCTATGAGCTCTCAGGCCTCCGCATCCAGGTTTGCTGATGTGGCAGGGGGTGGATTGGGTGTGCGTACTGACAGGCCCAATGCGGGACAGTGGTCCCTGGCCACTTAGACTGAAGTGGAAAGTTGAGAAGAAGGCTACTTCTTCGGTTCCCACTTCAGGTTTGTTTATATACATGCGGCTTAGATCACATGATGGGTGCCACGTCACCCTCGCACACAGCTGTAACCACCCAGGTATCTCCGTGGGAGATCCCGAGGGCATCCGGTGCAGGCATGTGTACTGGGCACAGTGGGAAGTTGCCCAAGGTGCCCAGGCTGGGTACATGGTGGGCGTGCTGCAGATGGGTCAATGGTACATTGATACAGAGAAAGTCGTCCATGTAGAATAAAGAGAGAATAAAGAAGAAGTAAGATAGGGAGAAAGTGAGGAGGGAAGAATGAGGAGGAAGGAAGGGAAAGGGGGAGGAGGTAAGGAAGGGTGGACAGCAGGGTACCGGGTCAGGTTGGGCCGGGTGGAGCCGGGTCAGGTGGGTGTGCCCTGACACATGTACATTAGGGAAAAGGAGGACTCATGTAACCTAACGTGGTATTCTCTTGAGTTGTTTTCTCTATATAAGTTTTTATCATCTTTTGGTACATACTCTCCATCTTGCTTGCATTCTGTTGGACGCTTCGACGTTCTTCACTCTGCCTTACTTGTATCGTTTTTGTTCCCAGTTCAATTTACATCCATAACTGGTCCTTGGCATCTGTTTCTTTTTTCGCATTCTTCCGGTAATCTTGCCTACTTTCCTTGGTCGCTCGACATTGCTCAACGAGGCCTCTGATGTTTGTGCCACACTAACTTTGCTGCTGCTTGCCTGCCTGTCATGCACAAATTGGTCTTGGCCATCACAGGGCCTGTTGCTATTTCGAACTTTCTCCCATGCCTATCACCGCCTGGATCTGTTAAAAACCCGTGTTGTGGAAGAGGGGGTAAATGCGTGAGTCCGAATGCAGGCGGGGCTCAACTAGAGGGGGGTCCGAGGGCTCCGGTAGTGAACCGAAGCTTCTCAGGGAGCCCGGTTCTGCTGGATGGTACAAGAGGCTCTAAGAAGGACGCGGCCTCAGCGACTCGGAGGGAGCGCTGTGCCTCCGTTACATCTCAGTTAGTCCTTGTATTTCTTATGTCTGAGGTGTCTTGTAGAACGGGGACGGGAATCACTCAGAGGGACTTTGGGTGGCATTTTAGTCGAGATTAGAACTGAGGGACTACAGGTTCTAATCTGCGTGTATTTATTAAAGGAGGATGGGGAGGACTTTAGTCAAAGCCCGAAATGACAAAATGGGGAAAACACCGAAAGGTACCGAATGATACCGAGAGGTACCGAAAGGTTCCGAACGATATCTAAAACGGGGAACCGAGGTGTCGGGCCAAGGAGGGCGGAGTTGGAGGCCGGAAAATGAATGGGGAAGACAAATGGGTAAAGGGGGTTAGCCGACTGAATGGTAGTAGAAGGTAGTCGTGCTAAGAATGGGAGATGACTAATAAGTGATAACGTGAGGGAGATCACCGAAGGATGCGGGTAGCTCCGAAAGCGGAGTTGCATATCCGAAGGATGTTGGGTGACTCCAATAAATGAAGTGGGTGGAGGAATGGTTTAAGGGCATGTCATGGGATGTCGGAGGTCTGTCAGGATATTGGAGCGAATCCGGGGTCTCCGAATGTTCCGACTCGGGACCGAGGTTCCGGGATGGGAGTGGCCAAGGTTCGGTGTGCCGCAACCAGACTGGAGCTGAGACAGTCAGGAGGGAAGGTGACTTGGAGAGTGGGGAGGCATGGTGTAGGGGATGGTGAAGTTGTTAGGAAGGTGTGATGTGGTGGGAGTGTGCGGGGTCGGGATTCCGGGATATGACAGGATCCCTGATATGGTTGGAATTTCAAATCGTCTGTGGTTTTGGTCGCAAAGGTAGGCAAAGTACGAGGTACATGGCTGTTGGCTGACTTTTCTAGGTGAACCCAAACACCGATATCATGCTCGTAAGCCCAAACCAGCCAGATATAGGGGATCGTTTGTTTGTTTGTTTGTGTTTGGTTGTTCAATTGTTTTTGCTTCCTTGTTGCATTGCTACCCTCCCATCATCATTCTCTTGTGCTTGGCTTACAGTATGGGTCGGTGTTGCCATGTAGATCTCGCTTCCATAGAATAAGCCGGAGCTGCTCAATATGAACCCAAACTTCCATTCTCAGGAACAGTTGATTTTGGCTGCTGTCTTCACTCAGATGCATGTCCAGTGTAACCGAGCTGTTGGTGCCTCTGGAAATGCTTAAATACTGCCATTGATCCATGAGGATCGTCCAATAATGGCAAGAAATATGTGGACTGAGTTCAGCGACTACCAAGATCGGATGTACAAGGGCTCTGCCATTGTAAGTGAAGTAGTTATGCTTCCCACACACATGCACTCATACACACCTAGGTTCCTCTTCGTCAACTGGTCGATCTGGAAGGCAACCACCAAGTAGATGAAGAGTTCGTCGCCAGGTACCATGAGACTTGGGGGGGCAGCATCGACCCCTTGATGCACGAGATGATGGGGTTGCTTCCTGACGATGATGGGTTGGACCTCCAAAGTTTTCCTGCAGACATCCAGGTACAGGTCGTCCATGGCCAGCACCGAAAGAGGGTGCTGGAAATGCATATAAGGACTCTGCTGCAGCAAGAGCATGAACTTGCACATCCTGACGAGGAAGTGTCCTCACAGGAATTCCTGATAGAGGCAGTGTATGCGCATCCCCGCACATTTTGGAAGGTGAAGCTCTATGGGCAATGTGAGAAGATCCTCCTTTCCATCTCATCATGTCGTTGATTTCATCATCAGCTCTTCGAAAGAACCATGAAGTCATGTTCCGTGTTTGGCTGGCCAAAGATAACAAGATGGAGGACACAAGTGGCACTACATGTTTTCAGTCATGCATGGGGTGATCAAGTCGAAGAATCTGGCACCGGCTACGATGGAACTGGGTTCAGCCTGGAGGGTGGTGGAGGAGAAGGAGATGTTGCCGTTGCGGGATGTATGGAGATCGAGTGAGCTGGCAGAGGCCATCGGGGACCTCCTCACAATCCCATGCTGGAGGGAATGTGAAAAAGTGCCATCTAGCATGGAAAGGTGGACTCATTGTGGGATGCATCAGGTGAGCGACATGCAGTTTCATCATCTTTTTGTCTGACACCTCGGAAAGCTCTATGTGTCAGGGCACACCCACCTGACCCGGCTCCACCCGCCCTGACCCGGTATCCCACTCACCTCTACTCCCCACCCTTCATCACAGTTCCTCAACTCCTGTTCTTCTTTCTATCCTTTTGTTCTTTTATTCCTTTGTTCTTTCTTCTATCTTTATCTACACGGACGACCTTTCCCCATACCTATGTATTATTGACCAGCCCGCAACACACGCACGACACACCCAGCCCCGGATGACCCGGACGGCCTCGCGGTGCAACCCAGCACGCTGTCATATCCGTGCATACCCAATCCCGACCTGACTTCCGGACCTCCTCCTTCCCCACCTCCGGAATCCTACTCCGTTCCGATATTCACCTTCGGTCCTGGCACCACACCACCCTTCACCTCCCATGCCACCTCCACTCCTCCATCACTCTCCTGTCCTATCTCCGTCCACTCCGATAACCACCTCGGACCGAACACCACCCCTCCTCCTACTCCTCCTACTCTTCTCCTGTCCACTCCAATACCCACCTTCGGACCTGACACCTCTCCTCTCTTCCCTCTCCTCTCTTCCCTCCCCTCTCTTCCCTCCCCTCTCTTCCCTCCCCTCTCTTCCCTCCCCTCTCTTCCCTCCCCTCTCTTCCCTCCCCTCTCTTCCCTCTGGTCCTCTTCCGCTGACCTCCTGCCAAGTTACGACCTTCTGCCGCTGACCCGTACTTCGTACTCAGGCACTGCTCATACCTTTGCTCTGAGCCTCCGTCATAGTTCCTACCTCGGACTTTGACTCCACCTCGGTCTTAGTCCATTGCATTGGTGACCTCATACTATGTTGTAGGAGAAATAACGGTCACACTATGGAAACCCATTATGGAAATATGCCAGATAAATCACAAAACCTCATACAACAAGTAGATATGAGAAAATAGAAGGACCTGAATTTTAACGAATTTTAACGAATTTTTACGAATTATTATGACTATATGCGATAAATCAAAGGAAAGAAAAATAGCAAAAATACTTCAAGCTTACTATCAACGAGACGGAATTCTCGGGGGAATTTATAGCAAATATTAAACCAAGAATTAGGACAATCGACCAAGATTTGACTATAAAAACAATCAGAGAACCTCCACGGAAACTACTTTCCCACGTCTGCACACGTAGCCAAGGATGGAAGTACCACGGAACAAGGATTCCTCAGGAACTAATGCAAAATTCAAGGTCGTGTCTATAATAGGAAATGTAGATGTCCCCCAAACGGACCCAATGAAAGTAATTACAGGGGAAACTACCCATAAACGACGGAGATATGACTAAAACTCCTGCAAAATGAGGACAACGTCTAAAAGGCAAGTGCGAAGATTAACCAGTAACGACCGAGACAAGCTTGATAGCCCATTAGAAAGGAAGGGATCTAATCTTAATCCTCCCAAATTTTTATAATAAAAGGATCATGCATTAATGTGATATCCAATAACGGGAATAGCGACATCAAAAGTCCGAGCTCAGGGAAAAGACGATGTTTGCGTAGGATCCATAATTAAAACATACAACGAAATTTACACGGAAATTATGAAAAATGGGGAACTATAGTTATGCAAATTTTCAGCCCAAACGGTCCAGCCGTTGTGAAGTTATACCCATGACGGGAATATAGAAATCCGCATCATGTGTAATGACACGTGAGGGTGGCGATGCGCAGGGAACCGGCCGTCGGAACCGAGATCCACACTTCAGCAGATCGCGAAGACCAATTTCCGTCCAAATAAGGAAGAGCCCGGTCAAAACAAAGCACGGAAAGTGCAAAACAACCTTAGATCATGAGGGAAAAATCTGAAATAAATCACAGAAGCCCATATGAAAGAAATAAACACCCGCGCATATCATAAATCCCAAACAATTAAACGGAAACGGCGCCCGCATACGAAACGACTATGGGAACGATGCACGTGATTACCGAATGTGCGCATGAACTTTTGCTAACTCAACGAATACCAGGAAATAGGACACAACCTTAGTACCATTGGAAAGGTGGGAATAAATGAAAATTTATGATACCAAGAACGTGAGAAGACATCCAGAAATGAATGAGATACAAGGACATGAAGTTAGAAACCTGAAAACGCATGGGAAAACAGCTTCAAGAGGTCCAGAGTCCTAAATAAAATACATAAAAATATGATATCTTCAAGGACAACCTACTATAACAACGAACAATACATATGGAGGATTAGGATGTGATAATACAAAGGGGAATCAGGGAATATGAACGAAATTCATGAAAACCACTAAACTATGACGGACCATGGCAGGAATTTTAGGGAACAATATTCTAATGAGGTGGAGAGCTATAACACATTCATTTGAGTAATTCTTGACTACTAGCAACTTTTTCTTTCAGTTTTTTTTTTTTTTTTTTTTTTTTTTGGTGGAACCTCAATAGCTTTTGCGGTGTGTCGTGCACACTGAGGTTTGATGTGGGGGGGATCCCCAGTTGTGAAGAGTGAATTGGTTGTTCGGGATGAGTGTTCAATGTAGCCACTTTTCAACTGCCACCATGGGGAAATGCGTTTACGCACGTGGGGCTTTGTGCCCCAAAACCTGAATAATTCACTCATTTACCATTTCAGTCTCATTTTAACTAAATGTCACTAAATAAAAATGGAATAAATCAGCTGAAGGTCTCAGCACAGCCGTACGCATAGTAATGCGAAGTTTGAATTCAGAATCATCAAGTCATAGCAAATTTAATGGTATATATAGGGAATTTGAAATAGGTAACTGCGACAAATGCAGCGCAGCCAAGTTCTAATTAACCATTAAAATAGCTTAGGCGAGGGAGGACAATAAGGATTCTAGGCACAGTCTGACTGCAGTAGAACTGCAGTTCAGTGCAGCAAAAGCACAGTAGAACTATAGCGTGAAATTTTCATTTTTTATTCAGTTTGAGAAAAATACACTGTAAATAAATCCTGTAAATAGAAGGTAGAGCGTGAAAAAGGAAGGCGACCCAAGGAGTATAAAAGGGAGACCCTTTCTGCGACTTTTCGCCCCCCTTTAGAGAAGTAAGAAAATAGAGTATTATTTTTCTCAAGCATTTCTGGTTGTCACTCCAGCATGAAAAAGTGATATACAGTTAAGATTGCCACTGTAGTAAAAGGCAGCAATTAAGGAGAGAAATATTAAGTAAATATTTCAACAGGAGAGCTGGTTAACACTCCAGATTTCAAAGTGTAAACACAAAACAGTTATCTTGCTACTGTTAAAAACAAGCAATAAAATAAGACAAAAATAAAACAAACCCAAGGGACACTCCAGACACAATCCAAATCCATTAACTGAATAGAATCTTTGAAACTTCACCAAGTAGAAGATTATATTCAAGTTAAATTCCAAATTAAACAATGCTACACAGAATTACACCTAGACAAATTAAGAAATTTCAATAAAGAAACAGCTCCGCAGGGCTCGGTTTATCTGTAAGTCAATTCCCAGGAACTTTAAAACTAACCCATAAAAATAGAATTAGCCAAAACACTCGGATTGGTACTATATTTACAATAAATAACACTAGTACACTTCCCCATCCTAACTAAAGAACCAGGGAACAGCTTGGTGGTGGTCTCGTTTGAACCTCCCAACTGACCTTCCTTCGTTCTCTCCTCCAACGTAAACACCATTGCCAATATTCCTCGGACTTTCAACCCCGCCTCTGTAAGCTCCGCAACCTCCAAGCTTCGCAGATCATCTTCAGCACTTTCGCCGCTTGTAATGTATTTCTCGCGTTTCCCCCTCATCCCTATTTGGACTGCTGCTTCTTCCCATTCTAGCCAGTTAGTCATCATCCCCACTTCCCCTCATCCTCCTGTGTCAGGGCACACCCACCTGACCCGGCCCCACCTAACCCAGTGCCCCACCATCCGCTCCTCCCGACCTCCCCCTCTTTTCCCTTCCCTTTCTTCTTCCCCTTCTTTTCTATTCTCTCTCCTCTTTATTCCTTTCTTATCACACGGACGACTTCCTTTGTATCAATGTACCATTGACCCGGCTGCAGTGTAACGCACCCGAACCCGGACACACCAGACGACCCCCCGCATACCGGACGCTCCTAGGACCTCTTACGGAGGTACCCGGATGGAGGTGGCTGTGTGCTTGGATGACGTGGCGCTTCCCACGTGGCCTTCAACCACATGTATATAAACACAGCCTATGTCAGAGACCAGATTCGAGACGAAGGAATGTCTCCGTAACGGAGGGCTTCGGCCTCAGCGACTTCTGCCAAGAGCGCTGTGCCTAGTGACATGTCCGTGCCCTAACTTACTGACTGGCAATTAGAACCTAGGGGGGTAACTCTAGTTGATTTTTCTACTGGGGCGTAACCTATGTACAAGTGGGATATATATATGGTTACAGTGGGGACGGGTCCGCAATTGGCGGAGCCGAACGGAGCGGAGCTAACGGGGTTTAAACGTTAGCCGACTGAATATTACTGACGAGTCGGTTCGCAGGGTTAGCGGAAAGGCAGGCGTTAACCCAGAGATGGAAAGGAGGGATAGGCTCGAAGGTGGGCTCTGCAGGGCAGGCGAGTGTATTGCCCAGCGGAGGCGGGGGTGCGCTAGCGGACGTCGGAGCTGTCCGGAAGTCTTCGGGGCTCCGTACTTAGGGAGGCGTAGGTAATAAATTGAAATGAGGGGGTGGTGACCATCGAGGGGTACCGAGAGGATTGCGGAATACGGGGGCTCCGAGGTTAGTGAGGGAGGAGCGGAGTTGGAACGGAGAGATCGGAGGGACCGGAAGTCGATGGCCGGGGATGGATATGACAGCCTAAGTGGGAACTGAGAAGCAACCTTCTTCTCACATTTCCCACTTTAGGCAAGTAGCTTACACTTCCCCTGATAATAACAATAACACATTTCCCACTTTAGTCTCAGTGGCCAGGGACCCTTGTCTGCTTCGGGCCCGTTGTTACGCGCGCCCGCATCATACCTACCGGACCCTCAGCCTCGGGCAATACACCCGGGCGCTCTCGACCCCGGGTCGGTCCCTGACATCCTGCCCCTCTGGGCCTCGCCCTCCTTACCTCCTTTCGGATGTATCACAGGTTCTGCCTTATGACCTTCGGTACCGCTCCACTTCTGTCATCCCTTTGTTCCCATTCAGACACCTTTGTTCCGATTCGGTTCCCCTTCGTTTCCTTGTGCTTTCGCCCCCTTGTCAGGGACCGACCCGGGGTCGAGAGCGCCCGGGTGTATCGCCCGAGGCTGAGGGTCCGGTAGGTGTGACGCAGGCGTGCGTAACAACGGGCCCAAAGCAGAAAAGGGTCCCTGGCCACTGAGACTAAAGTGGGAAATGTGTTGTTGTTATTATCAGGGGAAGTGTAAGCTACTTGCCTAAAGTGGGAAATGTGAGAAGAAGGTTGCTTCTCAGTTCCCACTTAGGCTGTGTTTATATACATGTGGTTGAAGGCCATGTGGGAAGCGCCACGTCATCCAAGCACACAGCCACCTCCGTCCGGGTACCTCCGTAAGAGGTCCTAAGAGCGTCCGGTATGCGGGGGGTCGTCCGGTGTGTCCGGGTTTGGGCGTGTTACACTGCAGCCAGGTCAATGGTACATTGATACAAAGGAAGTCATCCATGTGATAAGAAAGGAATAAAGAGGAGAGAGAATAGAAAAGAAGGGGAAGAAGAAAGGGAAGGGAAAAAAGGGGAAGAGGGGGGAGGTCGGGAGGAGCGGATGGTGGGGCACCGGGTTAGGTGGGGCCGGGTCAGGCGGGTGTGCCCTGA